GTATTGAATTATTTACCTTTATTCATGTCTCTGGCTTGCTTCCTGCAAGATCTGTGTATCTCCCCCGGCACCTAGAGCATCGTCTGGTGCCATGGAGAGGGCTCATGTGGGTCTGCTCTTCACTGACCAACACCAAAATGGGAGTCCGTTCTCTGTTCTCCCCACTACCAGTGGAATCTTTAGCTTTGTCTCATGAAGCCACGTCCTAAAATAGGAGAACTTGCTCCATGAACTAAGGAGTGGACCTGGGGACTGAAAATACCTATGGAAGTCTTTCAAGTACTTAATCATTTGTTTACCAAGGGCGGCCACAAGTTCTCTGGCAAGTGGATCACAGGCTTTATTTAAATCTGTCCCTCCTACAACAGGGAAAGGGGAGACAGAAATACGAGTGGTCTGACAGCAACACCACTGCCTCCAAAACGGGCCTCAACATTTCCCTGGCCCTTGGTGTCAGCGTATGTTTCAAAGAACTATAGGATGGGGAGGCACTTTGCAGGATGCCATCTCAACCCTTTCTTGAAGGTGAAGAAAATCAGGTTCAAAGACAGTATTATATCTGAAGACCTCGAGCAACCAGGATAAAAGCCCTATTAATTTCTAGTATTCTGCTCTTTGTAATGCAATAGACTGGCTCAATTAATAAGAAAAATTCCAAGCTTTCATGTAAGTAGGTACTTAATAAATGGTTATAGAATAAGTGAATTAATGAATAGATTCCAGTAACAGGGCTCATAACTTGCTTCTAAATTCCTCTCAGAAGAAAATGTTATAGTATCCTTGTTTAAATTTTTTAAGCTCAAGTAAGTATAATTTTAAGCAAAATAGTAAATATTGGCCAAAATATCACCCGAGACCAAGTGTCACTTGAGAAGTATCAGAGAAGGAGGCTTGATTGCTATTTAAGTCAATCAGATTAAGTTTAGCCAGCTGAAGTCGCCTTTATCCTATTTGGTTTGCAAAAAGAAATCTCATGAGTTAGCATGAACAGCTAAAAATAAGTTGCAGGTTTCATTTTCCGTTGTTCAGTATGGTTTTGAAACCAAAAGGTGCAAAGCTAGGAGATTCATCAACGCCTACTGAAGATCAACATTTTAAACTGTCACCTTTCTAGCACACTGACCTGATCTATAGTCCCCCCGCCCTCCCCCCCCGGGCCACCAGGCCCAAGAACGGTGCACCTATGTCCTTTCTCACTGCGGGCCCTTGAGATGAGTCCCTGCAATAACACATGGCAGGAAATTGGGGGCTGAGGCCAGTCCTGAGGGACAGTGGCTTATGTGTGAGTGTCTTGTCATATCCGGACAGGATGCCACGTAATCGGCCCCGTATGCTCAGCTTCCATCTTTGGTGGTGCTGGGGACCCCTCTGTAAAGCAAGGGAGTAAATAATGCTAGGAATTTCATGAAGACGGGGCCTTCAAGGTAGTGAGGACAGCGAGGACCCCTTGACGTAGCACATGGCCTTGTGCAATTCCATACTGCAAACCCAGGCGGCTCACCATAAGTTTAATTTCAAAACTGTCCTTTCCAATGCCCAAACTGGCAAAAAGGTGTTCGACAGAGGCATAAATGCTTCAGAGGGAAGGCAGCAGTCTCCCGCTGTAGTATTCAGCTATGGTACAAGGCTCGGGAGAGCAGTGCGGCTGTAAGCAAGCCCTCAGCTGAATGAGATTGAAAGGGGGCAAGGAAGGGTTAATCTCCTTCCATTAGAGGAGGGGCCATTTGGCGAAGGTGAAGAGAATAATCTGTATGAAGAGCAGAGAAGACAAAGAGCCATTCCAGAAAAGGAATCACTGTGCAGGGGCGAGAAGGATGATGTGTCCTAGATTTTCGCCGTGAGACCATTTCTTAGATCTCTGAGTCTTTACCTCGCTTTGAAGTTACAAGTCTCAGGGAGGGGAAAGGGGGCATATTCACACTCAGTGCTGGAATACTTGAGCTTTGATTCCATCTGAGATGGGCTGTCTCTGAAAAGCAGAGGTCGAGGTCGTAGAAGCCTATCATAAATTAGAAAGTGGCCAAATAAACAATAGGAGTTCCTCATAAAAGAGAGGCCAGCCGCTGAATCCCCCTTTCTTGAGGTAGGGAACACCCCCTCTTTTTTTTAAACTTAAAGTTTTTAGAAGTTGCTTTTAATGACATTTTTGGAAATAGTTTAGGAGTCACAAAAAGTTGCAAAAATAGGACAGTAACTATATAACTTCATCCAGCTTCCCCCAGTAAGAGTATCTTACACAAGTGCAGCACCTTGTCTAAAGCAAGAAACTGACATTGGTGCAATATTATTAACTCAGGTGTGGCCCTTATTTGGGTTTCACCAGTTTTTACCTGCTGTGTGTGTGTGTGTGTGTGTGTGTGTGTGTGTGTGTGTGTGCGCGTGCGCGCGCGCGCGCAGTTCTATGAAATCTTATCACATGTATAGACTGGAGTACCCATCATCACAACCAAGATAGAGAACTATTCCATCACCACAAAGAAATCCAGGGTTAACCCTCTTAGAGTCATACCTTCCTCCAGCACTAACCTCTGGCACTGATCTATTCTCAATCACTATAATTTTGTCTCTTTGAGAATATTATAAATGGAATCATACAGTATGTAACCCTTTGGTGGCTTTCTTTCACCCAGCATAATACCTGTAGATCCATTCAAGGTATACGTAAAGAGTGTGTGGCTTTCTATGGCTGAATAGAATTTCATGGTATGGATGTCACACGGTTTTGTTATCCATCCTCCCCTTGAGGGATGTCTCGCTGGTTTCCCGGTTTAAGCTATTAGAAATAAAACTGCTATGAATATTGATATACAGCCTTTTGTGTGAGCATAAGTTTTCATTTCTCTTGTGTAAACACCCAGGAGTGGGTGTTTATGTAAATGTATGTTTAACTTCATAAGAAACCGTCAAACTCTTTTCCAGAGTGGCTGCACCATTTATGTTCCCACCAGCAGTGCATAAGTAATCCAATTTTTCCATATCCTTGCCAACCTATGGGAACACCAGTATTTGTCATTTTAGCCATTCTGATAGATGTGTAGGGATTCCTTTTGCTGGTCCAGTCAGGATGGGAGTCAAGTGGTGGGGGGCAGCTTCAGAGCTTGGGTGGGGTGGCTTCAGATATCTCTCACTGTTCCAGCTTTCCTAATACTTGTCTACACAGCAGTTTGAGCTGTCTGGCATTTCAATCGTGGAAAATGGGGCTCTTCATACTGAGTGAGTCTTTAGGTTAGTCCAGTTGCTCCTGACTGCAACAGTGGGACATCACTATCTGGGGACACTGGGCTTCTTTGAGGCAGTACCTCTTGGCCCAACAGGCGGACTTGGTACCAGTGTCACTCTCCCAGGAGGTGATATGAAAGCCACGATATGACTGCCATGGAGCAGAGACAGAATTTGCCTGGGCCAGGGTTGTCCAGCAGCTTTGGCCAGAGACTGTGTGAATGCTTTTTATTCCTAAAGTTAGCTCCTCATTAGCAAGGTGTGTGGGGAGTACACAGGGAGTCAGCATAGAGGGGGAAGAGTGGGGTCACCAGTGGCACTTGTCAGATCACAGGCCCCACTGACCACTTTCTGCCCTCGGACTCCCTACTCTGTTTATCATCTAGGATTCACCAGCAGCATGTGGACACCTTGTCTTGGTGTCACAGAACTCCAACATTTACCTCCTGGGGATTAGATCTGGAAGCACTGCTGTCACCGCCACATGGACCTTCTTGGCCTAGGGATCCAGGTCTTGTCAGTAATTAGAACTCTATCTAAGTATCAGGAGGTGCCTCAGCCAAGGAAATTGTAAAGGATCCCAGGGAGATGGGCTTTGCATAGAGCCAACATCATAGCGATGACTTGAACTCCCCCAGCCATGTCTGGGAAGCCACCCTCCATCTGTTGTACCCCTGATTGAAGGGACGTTGTGGACCTTCCCAGAATCCATACTCATCCTGACCCTGGCTCTATGAGTTTGGACCAGAAGGCCAAAAATCAGGAGAGCGGTGATCTTATGTGGGGACAGCCAAGAGATAATGAAGACTCTGCACAGAAGCAGTGAAGCTTGAGGATCATAGGCAAATTTCCTGGCACCTAAGCATGTATAATGGGTGCAACAGAGGTGCTCCTTTGGGTTCTGACTCTTGCCCTTCACCTGGTGCAGTCACAGGAGAAAGATGTGGGCTTGGGCAGGGAGGAACCTAAATGGTGATTTATAGAACCTGAACATGAACTAGGGATCATCAGGAGCTGAGAAGTTTGTGAAGGTTGAACTTGAAAGCAAATGATATGAGAGAGGCCCTCTAGAAGCTGGGGTGGTAGAATGAGGAAGGGCAGCCATATGCCATCCGGTGACCAATAGGTATAGCCTGATTGGCTTGAGCAGAGTAATGCAAACAAGATGGAAGGTTATACTTCCTCTTAGAAGGTGATAAAAGAAAATTATATTTGGTTGTTGTTTGTTTACTATGTTCTCTGTTGTAACAGAATTTTCCCAATTTCCCAATTTCAGGGGCCTCTTATCTGATCCATTGCCCCTCCTCTGGCCAGGTGCTCCTACTTGCTTGCTGTCAGAAGGCAGCCCAGTGCACAGCACCTCTCAGATTTAAAGAGGCAGGTGCAGCTAGGGGCAGGTACCTCCCCAGACTATGAAGTTATGTAGAATCCATCCTAGAGGCTGAATCATTCAGCTCCCCTCTAGCTCTGATTTTGTTTTTTTTTCAGCTCATGCCTAAATCTGATCACAATATGAGTCTCTGCTCTCTTGCCTTCTGACTCAGGACCTCACCTCCTACTCTGCTCTTGTGCATGGACCTGCCTGGCTGCCTCATGTCCTCCTCAGTCCAGCTTCAGTGTTACCACTCAGGGCTTAGGGCACACAGTGATCTGGCTTCATGAGGCAACCAAGGTGGACACATGGGCCCCTCCTGGGGTCTGGGCTGCCCACACATGTCCTGAGATATGGCCCTGCTTGTGAGAAGGCAGATAAAAGTTTCCTGGCTGAGGCAGAGTCTCACCTGAGGAGTCTGTCTTCTCGTTGGTGCCTTGTCTCTGCTACCGAAAGGTTGGGTGGATCTGGGTCCTCTGTCTACTGAAGTTCTAGTTTTACTTCTGCCACTAAATCTCTGGGTAACCACCTGGAAGTAAATGAACCATTCTGGGTCTCAGTTATCTCATATTTACAGTAAGTTTTCCTGATTCCTTAGCTGACAATCTTTCAACTATACCATACCATGATTAAGGAAAAATCTAAAATTCAGAGGCCAAAAAAGAGCCTTTAAGTTAAATTCTGGTTTAGATATACAATCTCAGGTTTCCCTGTTTGCTGAAACGAATGTTTATTGAATTGAATGCAGCATATCAACAGTTCTCAGGCTTTAATGTGCATAAGGATTAGGAGGGTAGATTAAAAAGCATGTTCTTAGGCTCCCTCCTCAGAGCTTCTGATGCCACTGGGGCCTAGGAGCATGCGTTTTAACATGAGAAACTGAAGGGGATTTAGGTTTTGAAATAGACACACTGGTGTCTTTCTGGAGGCTAATTTACCAATGTGCATTAGGAACTTTAAAAACAGGTCATTTGACCTACTGATTCAATTCTAGGAATCTTCCATAAGATGTCCACAAAGATTTATCTATAAGAATGTTTACAGATTGATAACAGTAGAGCACTGCAATCAAAATGCCCATCAAAAAAAAAAAAAGAATGGATAAATTAAGACATATCAGTGCAATGGAAGCACAACACAATCTAATTTTCAGGGGTGCCTGGGTGGCTCAGTGGGTTAAGCATCTGCCTTCGGCTCAGGTCATGATCCCAGGGTCCTGGGATCGAGACCCGCATCAGGCTCCCTGCTCAGTGGGAAGCCTGCTTCTCCCTCTCCCACTCCCCCTGCTTGTGTTCCCTCTCTCACTGTGTCTCTCTCTCTCAAACAGATAAATAAAATCTTTAAAAAAACAAAAACAAAATCAAATTTTCTTTTTTTTTTAAAGATTTTATTTATTTATTTGAGAGAGAGAGAATGAGAGATAGAGAGCAAGAGAGGGAAGAGGGTCAGAGGGAGGAGCAGACTCCCTGCTGAGCAGGGAGCCCGATGCGGGACTCAATCCTGGGAGTCCAGGATCATGACCTGAGCCAAGCAGTCACTTAACCAACTGAGACACCCAGGCGCCCAACAAAATCAAATTTTCATAGGCCATTTAGTGACTTGGAAAAATGTTTACAACATCATTGTAAGTGGGATGAGAAAAAGCATATAAAATACCATGTCAAATAATTTGTGTGTGTGTGTGTGTATATATATATATATGAAAAATTGGAAAGAAATGCATCAAAATGTTAATATAGAATTGTTGCTTGGTTGTTGGATTATTGAAGACTGTTGTTTTCTCCTTGATATCTTTCTGTATTTTCCAGATTTTGTACAGTAGCTAGTTATGACTCTTTACATTTGAAAAACCATGATAAATATTTTAAAAGAAACAAAAAGGAATTTGCCTCATGTAGAGTGAAAATGGAGGGAAGAGAGGTGTCTTAGGAGGCCAAACCAGCCGTGACCTGGCTGCTCTAGTATGATTCAGACTCACTCTGGTGTCTGGGACGAATTTCAAGCTATATTCTCTTTTGTGAAATACCTTGGTATAGTTGATGCCAAGGAATTTGGGTCAGTGAGAAAAGTCCTTTCACTAGATACTACTTTCCCACTACATTCAAAGATAACAGACTACAGGATCTGGGACATGGAGTGGAGCTCACAGTTTAAATGACGCCTTCTTTACTGCTCTTGGGTCATTGACTCTGTGTACGATCCCCCGCCCCATAACACCAAGCAGACAGCTGCGCTCAGTATTAGAGTCTTTTGGACAGGCGATGGACTCCACTCTCATTTGGGAGACACTGCCTGAACACAGTGCTTCTGTGGAGTGGTTTCAAAGCCTCCTTTGGCCAATGCACTGGGAGCCCCCTAGAATGCCAGGAAACACCATTTTTGCTTTTGTTTTTTTTTATTGTTGTTGTTTTGTTTTGGCAGAGAAGTGGCTCAAATTCATCCTCTCTCACAGGTTTCGGTGACACCCCCCTCACCCAGGTCAAACCTCTCTCAGAATAAGATTAGAAGCCTCTCAGTTAGGCCTCTGGCCTACAGTCAAACCTTTCCAAATGACCTTGAAAATTTTACACCACATGCTGTGGCTAGTTAGGGAGTGGTACTAAGGATCTCAGATGAAAGTCAATTTAGAAAGACAAAAAATAATTGGGGCACCCGGGGTGGCTCAGTAGGTTAAGCGGCTGCCTTCAGCTCAGGTCATGATCCCAGGGTCTTGGGATCGAGCCCCAAGTTAGGTTCCCTGGAGTCAGGCTCCCTGCTTGGCAGGGCACCTGCTTCTCCCTGCTGTGCTCTCCCCCACTTGTGCTTTCCCTCACTTGTGTTCTCTCTCTCTCTCTCAAATAAATAAAATCTTTTAAAAAAGAGAGAGACAAAAAATCTAAAATGATGAGACTTAAAATATCAATACCACTATCAAAAGCTAAAACAACAATGCTGACCCCAATTATAATTATTTTCATCAACACCTTGACTTGCCAAACATTGTCCTAAGTTGCCCAAACCATTTCACATTTATTACTTTATTTATCCTGACAGAATCTTAGTTTTACATCCTTTAAAAAAATACCATTTTGGAGGCAGAAGGAAGCTTTCAAGTTCTGATGAAAAGCAGAGGCTTCTTGAGTTAAAACAAAACTATGAAGTCTTCAAGTGTGGTGTTTTCCAACTTTGTTCTTGACAAGAAATCGGGGGATTTCAGCATGAGAAATTACAAAGCCCTATTACCATGAATTCTTTGCTTTGGTGAATATGACGTGGCCTTATTGCAAAACCCTCTAAAGGGAGTAAAAGAACATTCATAAATGCTGACCCAAACCCTCTAAAGGGAGTAAAAGAACATTCATAAATGCTGACCCAGAGTAAGAAGGGGGCTTGTACTTCTGTGCTGTGAAAACAATAAAACCCCTGGGATTAAAAATAACCAATGGGTCTAGGCATGGCCTATGTCAGCCTACTGTCCTCAGTTCACATCTGCCCATCACAGATCAACAGGTCCAGGCTAAGCTCTTTAAGTGACCTAAGCTCCAAAAAAACTATGGTGCCCACATTTTAACTATACCCCTCACATGGAATTAAAATTTTTTTAAATAATAAAATATAAGACTAAAGTTAAGGAAGCTCAAGAAAAGTCAAACTGTTCCCATGATGTCTACTTTGACACTTGATTGAAAATGTTGAAGATCAAAATATTTACAAAGTGTATACTTGTTACTCCTGCCTTATTGGTGCGTCTGGGAGGTCACCCAGCATGCTGTACCAAGGCTGTGGAGGAATCTTGCTGACAGTATTGAAATTCTGATTTGGCGATTCCACAACGTAGCTAGACATCAGAAATCAGGAGGTTGACCCCAGCCTACTGCCTCCACACACATATTCATATGTTAATTCCTACATATTTAGTGCTTCAAGGCGTCATTATCACATGGCAGTTTAAATTAACAAACTGTGACTACCAAGTCTCCCAAGTGAATGGACCCCGACACCTTTCCTCCTCGACGGTGGCCTTTGGCTTTGCCCTTCCTGGCAGACGCCGTTAGACTGGGACTTTGGGCAACAGATCGTCCCCACTTGGCTCTAGCTTTTGAAAACTAGCACTTGTTGTCAACTTACTCCTTTGGCTGCACCCTCCTAAGCAGGCTCTGCACTCGCCCTGTTCAACTTGGTCCTCCCTTTAGCTTCCTCTATGAACTCTCGGTTCTCTAGACACTTCCAGGACCAACCAAGGCACAGCCAATGAACTGTTAGAGATTAAAGCATTTTTGCAATCAATCAACTTATTCTATTCCACTGCTCCTTAGACCACTCCTGGGCAGAGGCAAGGCAGCAGTAATAGGAGCCTAGGCCAGGCACCAGGCTCCACGAGAGCCCAAGAGGCTGTGTCAAATTGGCCAGTAGCTGGTCTTCCCACACAATGGACAATGTGTGTTCTCCAGGGTGTGGGTGCCAGAAATGTCAAGTCCAGGGGCAAAATTCAATTAGAAACCAGAGCGTCTAGCCAGATATCGACAACAAGACTAGAGAACTAGCTCAGGCAAAGACTGTAGTCCATTTTTAGCATACGTGCTGCTGAAGCAAGCACATGTAGTCCATTGTTGTTGGAGGTCTTTATGATGCTTTAGGGGCATCATAAGGCACCCACCATATGGTTTCTGATATTTACCAGCAGGGGAATTCTGCACTAAGACCAACAATGGCGAAAAGGCTATATAAAATATAAAATTAGTTCAGAGTTCTCCAAACGGGTTATGGCCTTACCACTCATTATTTCAGTATATGTTTTGAAACTTTTCCTGAAAAGAAAAACCTAGAATTATGTATCAAATACTTAGGGTTGCACTAATCTCTCCAGTCTGAGCCTTTTTAATCTACTTTTAAATGTTTCTCTAATAACTTGGTTTGAAGATCCCATCTTAGTCAGGGATTCCACCCCCGCCCCAACACACACAAGATTAAAAAGTGGGCAAGATCTGGAGTAGATCAGGCAGGGTAGCTTCCAAAAGCTCCCAGGAGCAGACAGAACCATGAACTAAAGAAACCATGAGCTTTCCAATAGGCTCAGGGCTCAAAGTTGGCAGGGGGGACAGAATTCTGTTGGACAATTCCCACTAGCTCAACTAGATCTAACACCAGGAAACAAAGCCAAAATGGTCCTAGACCAAGAGGACCCTAGAGGGGAAAATAACGGGAAGAATGTCCTTCCTCGTGTACTGGCCACTGGCAGCACGGTAGTGCTCATATAAAGGCTCAGGGTTAGAAAGAACAGAAGCATCTTGAAAAATCTCACCCTCTGCTCCTTGCCGATATGGCCAGATGTTACTTAAGAGAGTCGGTCAGGGAATACTAAATACCCCAGGGAATACTAACTTTTTGCTTCTCCCACGGATTCATTCCGCCCTCTTATCCTTGAGCATCTCTAAGTTCTTTATTATGCTGTGCCAGAGAGGACTACCTCATACCCAGAAACTCTCCAGAGCCATCACTGGGAAGTGGCTGCCTCCCCAGACACTACATTTCCCAGACCCCTTTGCAGTTAGACATGGTCATGTGACTGAGTTTTAGTCAAGCAACTGTGAATAGAAGTGTTGTACATCCCTTCCAGGCATGGCCTGTGAAAATCTTCCATGTGCACTTTTTCACACTCTTTTTCTCTTCCACTGGGGAGTGGAGACAGTCGAGGTGACCTTGAAAACCACATGCTGCAGGTGGAGACTCTCTCAATCTGTAGCTCTGAATGAATGTGTGAGAGTTGCCCCACTACACCCTGTTACATGAGCAAGAAATAAACTTCTATTGTATTTGAGCCATTATACATTTTTCAGTCCATTACAGCAATTAGTTTATCCTAACTCTTACATACCCTTTTGGATACAGCTGTTTTTCTTGTGTGCGGAAGTTCCCATGCCTTCTCCCCTCCTTAAATTTTACTATAAACCAAGAGAATAGAATTAGTAAACTCAAATTTAAGCAGCCACTAGGGGCAAATGACACTCACCAAATTAGTGGTCACAGCATTCAGATCTTAAATCCAGAAGAGCAGAAATTTAGCAGAGTCTCATTTCAAGACAACCTGGTATATTAAAATAAAACAAAAAATTAATGTAAGATATACAAAGCAAATACATTAGAATTACAAAACAAATATATGGTTACTTTCTAAAGGGTGTTGTCAGATTACGACGGAATTTGCCACGGTTTTCCAGCAAATGACAAACTTCCCTATTGCCTTTAAAATAAGATTTATTTTTTTAATACATCCCCCTCCAATCATTATAAAATAGAATTTATATATATATATTTTTAAAGATTTTATTTATTTATTTGACAGAGAGACACAGCTAGAGAGGGAACACAAGCAGTGGGAGTGGGAGAGGGAGAAGCAGGCTTCCCGTGGAGCAGGGAGCCCGATGCGGGGCTCGATCCCAGGACCCTGGGATCATGACCTGAGCCGAAGGCAGACGCTTAATGACTGAGCCACCCAGGCGCCCCTAAAATAGAATTTATAAAGAACAATTCTACTCTGCTAAGTAAGCTATACAAAGACTAGGTGCTGACTCAGGGGATGACATTGGAGGCTAGGAACACTGGCTATGAGTTCTCTGCCGATGGGCTCTACGGTTCTTTTGTACACATTTAAACTTTTCTCTCAGGAACTTAACTTTCTTGGTTAGGAACTTTCAGAGCTTGTAAAATTATAGGCTATGCAAAGACTTAAGTTTTTTAGGTGATGTTTAAACAGACATCAGAGATACATTATATCTGTCTTTGTGTTTAATATCATTCCAAATGCAATGACACGAGCAGGAATTAAAATAAGCTCTCTATAAACACGGTGATGAAACAATGGAGGTGCGCACACCAGAACAATCAGAGGCAACCAGAAACACGCTCTGTAAAGGGCGGCAGGTTGTGAATGTTTTCTTACCAGAGCTGCCATCTTTTACCAGGTTAAGTGCAAAAATACTATTTGACGGCATAGGGCACGTATTTGCCTAGAACAGGGTTTCTTTTTGTGTCTGATTACTCGGTTTAAGATCCAGGAAGCAAACAGTTCAGAACTCTGAACAAACATTCTGGCAGTCCAAACAGAGCACTAGGGCGGGAGGAGGAAGAGGAGACAAAACAAGAGGGTTGACCGGGGAAGGCATGACTTGGGCCATTTTCCCCAGGGTTTCAGCCTATACATATGTGTGCATACACACACACACACACACACACACACACACACACACACAGATTTTTTTTTTTTTTTCTGGGCGGAGAGAAAAAAAAACCTTTTTTTGTCCTGTAAGAAGAAAGAGATCAGATAAAATCCCTTTGGTGCTGTCTTTGGAAGGTCTCCCAAATGCATCCCCACTCCCGCCTGCTGGGCTGGGGCCTGCCAAGCCACAGGTGTCAGGAAACAAAATGGCGCCCCACAGTGTAGGGCGCTGAGTGAGGGGGGGCAGGGGTGGGCCTTCACTTACTCGGAGACGCTGGCTCCTCTGAAACCCAGACGCTGCCAACTCCCTGGGTTCAGGAGTTATGACCGCTTTCTTGCTCTGGGTTCTTCACTTCTTCTTGAGATCAGCTCCACATATTTTTCTGATGATGTCATCCATTCTGACTTCCTACATTTTCAAAGTTGATTTACAAGCAAAACCTTCCATGAGGCTTAAAAAAAAAATGAAGAAGAAAAGAAAGGTGTGCTGGGAGGAGATGGAGAGCACAGGAGAGAGGCAGTTGCCTCCTTATTTTGAGATTTGCTGCAGCTGCGAGTGCCACTCCCCAGCCAGTTTCCTGGCTGCAGGGGGAGGCCAGTGGCCGGGCGTGGGTGACGTCAGGGCCAGGCCTGAGTCATCGCCGGCGGCCTGGCTGCCCTGCCACTCGGAAGGGGACAAAAGGAACCTTTGATGTCCAGAGGCCCTCCTCTCAGCACACTCGCCTGTACGGAGCAGCAAGCCAGGAGAACATTCCTGCTGTCTCCCCACCCCCAGCCGTCCTTCCTACTTCCGGAACAGTCCCAGGCAGATTCAGCTAGGCCTCCCCAAGGGACGTCACCCTCTTGCATGGCAGAGGCCTGGCCACTCTCTGTCAAAGGGAGAAGCAGAAGAGGGTGTTTCTCTGGGGATTTCTCACCTCTCCCTCTGGCATCCCCCTTTTTCCTTGTGGTGCTGCCTTAACCAGGGAGTAGAGGTGGTATTAAAAGTCATGTGGAAAGGCGGAAGGTGCTCTCGTCACATTCCCAGGACAGTGCCTAGCGGTCAGTGCCTTTGTGCGATGGCCCTGGGCCTCAGCTCCTTGCTCTCTGGGTGCCCGTGTGAGCCTGCACCACCTGGATTTAAGAGGGCACTATTCTTTAAGAGGGGTATTTATATCCGCATGCTGGCATGGGACTCAGTAAATGCGTGATGAATGAGTGTATTTCGATATGTTTAGATGATAATTCTAAAATAAAATAGTAGAAAACATATACTGAATACTTGCAGTGAATGTTTGAGCCTCTGTGCTAAGTGCTTTCTAAAGATTATTTCACATTTATCGTTATTATCATGACAAAGCTATGAGGTTAGGTACTATTATTATTCCCAATTCTATAGATGAGAAAATGGTTGCTCAGAGAGATGAAGACACTTCTCTAAAGTCTCAGCTCTGGTTAATGGCAGAGCCTGGATCGTTTGATCTCAAATCCTGTGTTCTGAACCACCATGGTGAGTGGCTGAGGTGAATGTGTGAATAATGACCAAGGGCAGCCTGGTTCAGGTGAGCAGAGATATGGGTAATGATGGGGCTTGAAACCAATTGTGCAAGGAAGGAATGGAGCAATTAGGAGTGATCTGCCTAGAGTAGGGGGCCTCATGTCCTCCTGATGGGTCAACACAAGGTATGAGTCTTGGTGGGACACCCAGAGTGGTCAGGAGTGCATGTTCATTGTCAGGTCCAAGTGGGGATGAGAAGCTGGGATGGGAAGACAAAGCCAGGGGGGTCTGGTGGTGTGTGGTGGATGCAGGGTGTGAGAGAACAGTGGACAGAGTACCTAAGAGGGGCAAGGCCCAGACTTGTCTTTGTTGCCCCCTGGACTCATGGGCATACGTTGGGGGGGGGTGGTCAGTGCAGATAAAGGCCCAAGTCTGGGACAGGCAAGAAGACTACAGAGAAGAAGACTAGATAGCGCTCAAAGACTCCAAGAGCTAACTCCAAGAAGGAGTTAGAACAATGGTGTGTTTCAAGTACGAGGAGGACCTGGAGGTGACAGGAACAGTGCCTGGACCTGCCTGCAGCAGTCACTGCCCTGAGCACTGCCCTATCAGGCATCAGCAGCCTTTCCGGGACAGAGTGAGAGTCTTGTCAGTGGCTCATGCGTTCAAGCCAAGACGAGGAGGGCCGGCAAGAGGAGAACATCTGCTTCTGGGGGTATCTAGGCCCGGGATAGAGATGACCTTGGAGGTTATCTTCTTCTGGGGTATATGATTTCGTGGTTTGTACTTTTCCATGATTCTCCTAGAATAAATGTCTCATTCTGAGAGGAAGACAAACGCCAGGAATTTCCAGTCCCTTTATGAAAGTAGGGAGGGAGTCGTTGCTGGCCTCCTCAATAATGCCACTCCACAGCTTTCCTTCCACTGTGGTCATGAGACCCCTCTTCTGGGCTCAGGAGATCAATGCCTCTGATAGCTGGGGACATGGTGTAGTTACCTTGTTCCTGGGAGCTCTGCCAGTTGCCACTCTGAGGAATTACTTGTGCGGTGTGGGTCTGACTCCCCAGGCAGGTGGAATTAGCAAAGATGAATTTCAGAAGAGAGAGAGTCACATGCTTTTAATTAAGGGAGCAGCAACAACTGATCAGGGTCACTGTCAACGTCCACACACAGCCTGACCTTGAGCTGAGGAAAGTGCTCTAAGTTCCAGGCATTTTTGGCAGAAGCCTTGTTTATTCTTTCCTTGTCTCTCTGCAGAAAATGCCTCTGGGCACCTCCCCACTCTGCTTCCCCAAAGGCTTGGTGGCCTTGCTTGCTTCACGTACACAGGTAGTTATTTCTCTAATAAGATGAAGACAGGCTGATTATTTTTTCAGTCTACATTGTGGGACCAGGATAATGGGAAGAGTAAAGCAAAGAAGGAGAAATGATGAGTAAGCTTAAGAGAGATGCAGAGCCTTGTACTGTGTGTTCTGAGGTTGCTTCTAATAGGATAATGGGCGAAACAATCTACGGGGGGACACAGAAAAGTAAATACAGTGACACCCCCTAAACTCTACCCCATCTGGAGAATCCTTTGTTACAACAAATGCAGATATATACTCGTCATTAAAAAATAAATTAATTAAACCTTTATGGCTTCAAGGAATTCCTTGGAAGACTGGTCTATACTTGCTGCCTCCAATTTCTCTCGTCTCATTCACTTTTTAGAAACACAATTTATTAACCGGGCACCTGGGTGGCTCAGTCGGTTAAGCGTCTGCCTTCGGCTCAGGTCGTGATCCCAGGGTCCTGGGATTGAGTCCTGCTTCGGGCTCCCTGCTCAGCGGGAAACCTGCTTCTCCCTCTCCCTCTGCTCCTCTTCCTGCTTGTGCTCTCTCCCTCTCTCTCTGTCAAATGAATAAATAAAATCTATAAAAAAAAAGAAACGCAATTTATTAAGATATAATTTATATACCATAAGGTTAACACACTTCAAGTGTACAAGTCAATGGATTTTAGTGTATTTACAGAATTGTGTGACCTGTAATCCAATTTTATTTTATTTTATTTTATTTTTAAAGATTTTTTTATTTATTTTTTGACAGAGAGAGACACAGCGAGAGAGGGAACACAAGCAGGGAGAGTGGGAGAGGGAGCAGCAGGCTTCCCGCGGAGCAGGGAGCCCGATGTGGGGCTCGATCCCAGGACGCTGGGACCATGACCTGAGCCAAAGGCAAACGCTTAACAACTGAGCCACCCAGGTGCCCCTGTAATCCAATTTTAGAAGCTTTCTAATACCCCAAAAAGAAACTATGTGCCCATTAGTAGTCATTCCTCACTTGTGCACCGCCCCTCCCCCCAGTGCTAGGCAAACATTAATCTTCTGGCCATTTCATATAAATGGGATCACATGATACATGGCCTTTGTGTCTGGCTTCTTTCACTTAGCACAATACTTTCAAAGTTTATCCATGTTGTAGAATCAATCCGTACTTCATTCTTTTTAAGTTTATTTATTTTATTATTTTTAATTTTTTTTTAGTAAGCTCTATGCCCAGCATGAGGCTTGAGCCCACAATCCTGAGATCAAGAGTCACATGCTCTACCAACTGAGCCAGCCAGGTGCCCCTGTACTTCATTCCTTTTCATGCCCAAATAATATTCCACTGTGTGGTTGTACCACGTTTCGTCTATCCACACATCAGTTGAACATTTGAGCTGTCCCCATTTTTGACTGTTATGAGTTATGTTGCCATGAACATTCAAGTACATGTTTTTGTGTGGACATATGTTTTCATGTCTCTTGGGTAGCTACCAAGGAGTGGAACTGCTGGGTTGGGTCGTAAGGTGACTCTATGTTTAGCATTTTAGTGTATGTGCTGCTGAAGCATTCTGTGTCTACCATTTTGAGGAGCTGTCAGATTGTTTTCCGAAGTGCACCATTTTACATTCCCACCAGCGACGTGTGAGAGTTCTGATTTCTCCACATCCTTCCAACACTCTTCTTGTCTATCCTTTTGATTATAGCCATCCAAGTGGGTGCGATGTGGTAGCTCGTTTTGCTTTTGATTTTCATCTCCCTAGTGACTAATGATATTGAGCATCTTTTCATGAGTTACTGGTCATTTGTGTATCTTCTTTGGAGAACTCTTTGTTCAAATCCTTTATCCATATTTAAATTGGATTATTTGTCTTTTTATTATTGAGTATACATCTGCATACAAATCCCTTATCAGATATATGTTTTACAAATATTATTGCCTTGTCTGTGGGTTGTCATTTCATTTTCTTTATGATATTCTTTGAAGGAGAAAGGTTTTTAATGTTGATGAAGTCCAGTTTATCAATCTTCTCTTACCTCACTGTGCTTTTGGTAGCATATCTGAGAAACTATTGTCTAACCCAAGGACATAAAGATTTATAGCTGAGTTTTCTTCTAATAGATTTATAGTTCCAGTTCTTACATTTAGGTCTATGATCCACTTTAATTTTTATGGTGTAAGGTAGGGATCCACGGTCACTCTTTTCATGTGGATATCCAGGACCATTTGTTGAAAAGACTATTCTCACAAGACTCTGAATATCTAAAACTATTCTAAAATAAAAGGCCTATTTTTAAAAATAATCCATTATTTCCCGCATTGAATTGTCTTGGCCCCTTTGTCAAAAATCAACTGACTATAAATATTTGTTTATTTCTGGACTTTTAGTTCTATTCCATGGATCTAGATGTCTGTTCTTATGCCAGCACCACACTGTTGTGATTACTACAGCTTTAACCTCATGCTTTTTCAAGATTGTTTTGGCCATTCTGGATGATTTGCATTCTTTTTTTTTTTTTTAAGATTTTATTTATTTGAGGGGTGCCTGGTTGGCTCTGTTGGTTGGGCGTCTGCCTTCGGCTCAGGTCATGATCTCAGGGTCCTGGGATTGAGCCCTGCATCGGACTCCCTGCTCAGCGGCAGTCTGCTTCTCCCCCTCCTTCTGCCCCTTCCCCCATCTCCCTCTGCCCCTTCTCCACTGCCCCCTTCCCCCCACTCATGCTCTCTCTCTCTCTCTCCCTCAAATAAATAAATAAACTCTTTAAAAAAAATAAAGATTTTATTTATTTGAGGGAGAGAGAGAGAGAGAGAGCACGAGCCAGGGGGCAGAGGGAGAGGGAGAAGCAGGTTCCCCACCGAGCAGGGAGTCCGACTTGGGGTTTGATCCCAGGACCCTGGGATCATGACCTGAGCCACCTAGGCACCCCTGGATCCCTTGCATTTCTATTTGATTTCTAGGGTTATCTTCTCAATTATGCAAAAAATTCCAGCTTGGATTTTGACAGAGATTGTATTCTACCTCTAGACCAGTTTGGGGAGTATCCCCATTTTAACAATATTAAATCTTCTGATCCGTGAACCTTTCCATATATTCCATATATATGGAAGCCTTTCCATATATTTACATCTTTAATTTCTTTCAACAATGTTTTATCACTTTTGGTATATAAGTCTTACATTCCTTTTGTTAAATCTTATCCTAAATATTTTATTCTTAATTGATATTACTTATATTGGAAATAATCTTTACTCATGGACTTGTTAAGAGCTTGTACTTTGTAGGCTGAAAGACCTAAGTCTCAGTCCTGGCTCCGCTATTTATTAGCTGTATGGCTTAAAGTTTACTTAGCCTGTATCAGCCTCCTTTTTTTTTTTTTTTAATTTGAAAAAAGTTAATACCACTGGCTGGGTTTGTGATGCAGATTAAATAAGATAATGCTTATGCAACCCTGTTGAGACTATGACCTGTATGGGCCTGTCTCAGGGTGATGTTACAATCTAAGAAACCCAGTCCAGTCACCAAAAAGTAATTTCAAATTAACTCATATTCAATACTTGCATTTCTCAAGCACCATACAGAGCTCCTGGCAATCCTTTTTTTATTTTATTTTACTTATTTATTTATTTATTTTTGATGCAGTGTTCCATGATTCATTGTTTGCATATAACACCCAGTGCTCCATTCAATACGTGCCCTCTTTAATACCCATCACCAGGCTAACCCATCCCCCCACCCCCCTCCCCTCTAGAACCCTCAGTTTGTTTCTCAGAGTCCATAGTCTCTCATGGTTCATCTCCCCCTCCGATTTCCCCCCCTTCATTTTTCCCTTCCTACTTTCTTTTTTTTTTTTTTAACATATAATGTATTATTTGTTTCAGAGGTACAGGTCTGTGATTCATCAGTCTTGCCCAATTCAGAGCGCTCACCATAGCACATACCCTCCCCCATGTCTATCACCCAGCCACCCCACCCCTCCCACCCTCCACCACTCCAGCAACCCTCAGTTTGTTTCCTGAGATTAAGAATTCCTCATATCAGTGAGATCATATGATACATGTCTTTCTCTGATTGACTTATTTCGCTTAGCATAATACCCTCCAGTTCCATCCATGTCATTGCAAATGGCAAGATTTCTTTTTTTATGGCTGTGTAATATTCCATTGTGTGTGTGTGTGTGTGTGTGTGTGTGTGTGTGTGTGTGTGTGTGTGTGTGTGTATATACCACATCTTCTTTATCCATTCATCTGTTGATGGACATCTTGGCTCTTTCCATAGTTTGGCTATTGTGGACATTGCTGCTATAAACATTGGGGTGCACATACCCCTTCGGATCCCTACATTTGTATCTTTGGGGTAAATACCCAGTAGTGCAATTGCTGGATCGTATGGTAGCTCTATTTTCAACTGTTTGAGGAACCTCCATACTGTTTTCCAGAGTGGTTGCACCAGCTTGCATTCCCACCAACAGTGTAGGAGGGTTCCCCTTTCTCCACATCCCCGCCAACATCTGTCGTTTCCTGACTTGTTAATTTTAGCCATTCTGACTGGTGTGAGGTGGTATCTCATTGAGGTTTTGATTTGGATTTCCCTCATGCCGAGCGATGTTGAGCACTTTTTCATGCGTCTGTTGGCCTTTTGGATGTCTTCTTTGGAAAAATGTCTGTTCATGTCTTCCTGGCAATCCTTCTTAACATCCTTTTTCCTGACCTATCCAAACCCCTTATCCCCAATAGATTTCTCCTCCCCTTCTTTCTCCCAAGCTCCCTAGAAAGCGTTTTCTCCCATCCTAACCAATCTGATTCTTCTACTTCTGTCCCGTTCTTCTGATAGGTGAGGGGAAGAAACCGGACAGGCAAAGCCAGAATTCTTTTTAGTGTACAGGAAGAAAAGAAAACCAGGGAGTTCTCAAACTTCATTTATACCACCACTCACATAAAATGCTTAGTACAATGTCTGATATATAATAAGGGCTCAATAAACACTAGGATTTTATTTTTAATTGTTTTTAAGGATTTTATTTATTTATTTGAGAGAGAGAGTGACCGAGCGAGAGAGAACACGAGTTGGGGGGAAGAGCAGAGGGAGAGGGAGAAGCAGACTCCTCACTGAACAGGAGCCTGACACGGGGCTCAATCCTAGGACCCCAGGATCAGGACCTGAGCCAAAGGCAGACGCTTAACCAACTGAGCCACCCAGGCGCCCCTGGGTTGTTTTGTTGTTGTTGTTATGGTGGTGGCTACATTATGCCCATGTATACTTTATGTTAATGGAGTGAGGTTTAGATCATGACCTCTGAGAATCCAGCTGGGAGGCTACTGCTCAGTGGTCCATCCTCACTCACTGAGATGAATTTGGGATTACTGCTTTTCTTTCTTCTTCCTGAATCGTTCCTCAAAGAATCAGCCCCGAGAAAACTGTAAAAAATTTATCGTTGAGGCTC